GGACAAGTTCTTAGTTTAATGCCGTGGTTTTGGCAATACCAAAAAGTATCGCCAAATTTTGGCGATATTTCTATGTATCGCCGTTCTGAAGGCAATACTTTTCCGTAAGGCCGTTTATTGACAATACTTAATTATCCACCCCTATCCCTATCCACATTGTGACATTTGCAGTCAAAATCAAATCTAGCGACGGCGACGAGATCGGCGGGGGCGAGTGAATCAATACTTAAAAGGTGGGCAGCGTAGCAACTCTTTTTAGCTTGCCTCACACTTGTGATGGACTACTGAGACAACACCTGACATTCGCCAGACAAGGCAACTGCTTATACCGATGCACTTACGTTTGTGTCCATCCCCCTCACTGCCTTCTAGAAGCTTCAGCAGACGACCACAACCACGAAAGCCACGAAAAACAATGTTACGAAGTCACTGCGACTGACTTTTGTGTTCAAAAATAACAGGAATTCAGCGATTTTGTCATGTGACTTCATTAACATGCAAAATGCGCATTTTTTGAATTTTTCCATCTTTTCCGGGGCTCTTGGAAAAATACGGAAATTTTCAGAAATTTTCTGCATTTTTCCCCGGAAATTTTCCGGCATTAGAATCACTAATCAGTAGTTGTAAAAATAGCGGAGAACGTAAAACACATCTCAGCACTGACAAGACTTGAAATGTGGCTTCTCTTCAGTATAAAATGGAAACCTTGCATTAGTACATATTTATTAAATAATTAAAAATAAAAACCATCACGAGCATTCAGGAGTGTGGTTGCCGTCCATGCTGTAATTTAAAGTGAGCTTGCTAAGCACGCTTTAAAATAGAGCGTGCCTGGCAGGCACGCTTTAATTTAGAGCGTGCCTGGTAAGCACACTCCAATTTCAAGCGTGCCTGCCAGGCACGCTCCAATTTAAAGCGTGCCTCTTGGCATGCTCCAAATAGAGCGTGCCATGCACACATTTCAGTTTGCAGAGTGGTTTTCCCAGGAACTCCCTGGAAATCGCCTATGTAAGCCTATACAGGAAACCATAGGGCTCCTGGGAAAACCAAGTACCGTTTTTACCGTGCTGCGTCCCTTGGGTTTTTCATTTTGGAGACAGCCTTGCACCGTTCCGGCGTCCCGACGCGGCCGTCGTCTGGCGCGTCCAATTAATCAAGCTATCGCACGCAAATTACGCGGAATTTCTTTAATTGCTCGCCGATGGTCTATGTTCTTCCTGCTGGTACGTCAAGGCGCCGGCCTTGCGCTTGCTGTTGTTGTTGTTGTTGCTGCTTGTCGTTGGCGTGTTGTTCGACTGTCGCGGCAGTGTCCCCGCCGCGGTCCCCGCCGAGGCCTCGACATCTACATCGCGAAATCATGCTTGGCTGCGCGCGACGCACAGTAGGCCAGAAGACCGGTGGAGGCGGCAAAAATTCTAGACGCGTTTTGAGCTCTAGGAGAGCCAGAGCCTCAACACCGAAAAGGACGCCCGGCGCCATGGGCGCGGAGCAGCAGCAGAACAGAGACCGTCGTCAAAAAGAGGGAGGAGAAGAAAATTAATTTGAATAAAGGCGGATCGTCCTGATGGGGAGTTTCTTTCCGAGAAATGTAAGGAAGTTTTCCCCTGCGGCGACGCCAGGCCGCGCCGAGACGGCGCAAAGCGATAAGCATCGCCCAGTGGAGTGGATACGGAAGCACCGCGATGCAGTGCGATGCAGTGCGATGCACCGCGATGCAGTGCGATGCAGTGCGATGCAGTGCGATGCGGCGCAGATGACCTTTCCCGGAAAACACGTCTCCGTACGCGCGCCGCCCTCTGAGGAATGGGTGGCCGAGGCGACGTGGGTTCGACGCTTCGACGTTCGACGCTCGTCGCGGATCGGCGACAAATTTATCGACTCGGTGTTCCGAGCCGCAGAGGTCGTTTCCGCCACTGTTTGTCCCTCACTGCCTCGGCTCCTTTGCAGTGACCAGTGGAAACCAGTGGAAAATTTGGTCCCGCGGCGCGTTGACTTGAACGGACGTGGTCGGGGTCCCGCCTCATGGTTGTCTTTCGTCTTCGCGCCGTTTTCTGGCAGGGTGTCTGTCGCGCGGGCGGCGCGTGGCCCGGGCCACTACCGGGCCAGGAGGGCCGGATCGCCGAACGAAAGCATTCCAGGCCTGTCATTAGAGATTTTTCCCCGCGCACGTGGCCACCACCCCCCCCCCGCCCCCCCCGCCCCGCCCCGTCCGGTCCGCACGCGCGGCGCGGCGTGTGGGGCGGTGCGTCCGGTGCCCCCGGACAATTACCCCCGAATGTCGGGCCGGACTCGTTCCGAACAGGACCCGGTCTCTGTCTCTCTCGCACCCGTGGGGCTTCCCGCGTGGGTGTGAGAGAGACAGAGCGACGAGGACCCGTTCGGGACCAGCCCTTTCCCGCGGGGTGGCGGGTGGCAGGGCTAGCAGGGCCTAGCCCAGCCTGCGGGGCACGGCGGCCGGCTTCGCGCGCCCGCCCGCCGCCCGGCCCCCCCCCCGGCCCCCCCCCCCCCCCCCCGCCCCGCCCCGCCCCGCCCCGCCCCGGCCCCCCGGCGGCGGCGGGGGCCCCCCGCGCCGGGGCGGGGGGGGGCCGCGGCCGCGCCGCGCGCCGCCCCGCCCCACGGGACGCCCCATGGGTGCGACGGAGACGCACTGGCGGAACCACCCCGCGGCACGCCGCCCGTGTCACAGCGCGCTGATGAGAAATCGCGCACGCGGAAAGGAACACGGGGCACTGCAAAGGAAAGAACGATGTAAGGACGCCAAGGACGAGTGACTGAATTTCTCTGGAATTTCCCAGCAGGGAACTCGCATGGCTTTCGTCGCTCTGTCTCTCTCACACCGACGGCCCATTCTGTGCAGGTGCGAGAGAGACAGTGGCAGAAGCGAGCGCCCGGTGGGTAGGCCCACCGCGGTTGCCGTGCCTGGCGGGGCGGCCCACCCCGACGTCCGCAGGCGCTCCCGGGACGTCTCTGTTGTTGGCTCTGCCGAATCGCTCTGTCTCCCTCGCACTCGCGGGTCGCGGCCCAGGAGTGCGAGAGAGACGGAGCCACACGCGGGATAATGACCGCGATCCATCCTAAAGGCCGGAATTAAGAGGGCCAACTTGTCTTGGTGCGGTACCACTTTGTGGGTCCGGCCGGTCGGCCTGCCTCGCTCTGCTCTCTCTCTCTTCTCTCTCTCTCTCTCTCTCTCTCTCTCTCTCTCTCTCTCTCTCTCTCTCTGCGCTGCTGCCTGCTTCGAGCCCGGCGGGGAATGACCTCTATCAGAATGGTATTAATTTGGACATAGCACGTGTCCGAGAGCATGTCACAGGGAACCCAACCGGTTGTGGGCGCCTGGAATGAATGTCGCTCAACGTCTCGGCTCTCTCTCTCTCTCTCTCTCTCTCCTCTCTCTCTCTCCTCTCTCTCTCCTCTCTCTCTCTCTCTCTCTCTCTCTCTCGAACTCCGGCGGGCCGGTGGGCCTAGCTCCCGGTTCACCTCGCGTTATCAAACCCGGGACGGTGGTTGCGTTCAAGTCCCCGTGTCAAGCACGGCGCTGCTGACGGATTCCGGGAGTCGTTTTCGTCGCTCTGTCTCTCTCGCACTCACGTGGTGTTCCCGAAAGGGTGCGAGAGAGACAGCGCGGCGAAAACGGCTCTGCTAGCGTGTCTCTCCGCTCCTCCCCCGCGTCTCCTCCTCCTCCTTCTCCTCGGCCTGCTCGACCTGATCGGCGTTTGGCCGCCAGCTCCGTATAAATCTCTCGGCGGCAGCTCCGCGCTCCGCGGCGCAAACTGCTTCGCCGTCTGTCTCTCTCCCGCGCTCCGCCCGGCGCCATTGTCATCGGCGCTCTCTGTCTCGCTCTGCGCGGCGCTGCGCGGATTGCGGATCCGTGGCTAGTCTGTCCGGTGCGATTCCCAAAGGCGCCGGCTGTCCGACTGGAGCTCCGTCTGGAGTCGGGCGGCACCTCGAGCTTGCCGTCGTCGCGCTGTCTCTCTCGCACTCGTGGGGCGTCCCGTAGGGGTGCGAGAGAGACAGAGCGACGACGCGCTGTCCTGGCCGACCCCATGACGATTACCATTGAGTCGGCCAGGCCGGCGCCGCCAGGGGGCACCGAGTGCACCGAGAGCACGGCGTCCATGGCAGTGGCGTGGCAGTGGCGTGGCAGTGCCGTGGCTGTGGCGCCATCCCGGGCGACATGAGTTGTAATTACCGGGCGGCATCAGCCTCCGCATCGTGCATGTCGTTCGGGGCTTTCGTCGTGCGGTCTGTCCGTCCGTCCGCTCGCCCCTCCGTCTGGCCGACCGTCTGCTGCTTATTCCGGCCGCCAAAAAGACGCAGCGCCCCGCCTACCCCTCGCGGCGCACTGGCGATGCATCGCGAAACGATTAAATGTGCGTGCGCATTACCGCTGCCTCCCCCTCCCCTCCCCCCAGACGGCGGCAGGCGGAGTCCCTTGAGGCCGGCCGAGGTCAGCCCTGGTCAAGCTCCGCGGTTCGAATGATGGCGACCATTACCGCCGCAAACAGTCAAAGGCGAGTTGCGTTGCGACACTGGCGGGCCACCAGGCCACTGCCAGGCCACTGCCAGGCCACTGCCAGGCCACTGCCAGGCCACTGCCAGGCGCGGCTCCAGGCCGCCCCTTGGCGCGGTGACATTCGCTTTCGAATTGGAGAGACAAAGGGACCTTGCGATTCACGCCTCCGTGGTCACCGCCGTGGTCGTCACCTTGGTCGTCGCCGTGGTCGTCGCCGTGGTCGTCGCCATGGTCGTCACCGTGGCTTTTCCCATGGTCGTCGCCTTGGTCGCCGCCTGGCGCTAATGAGTGCAATCTTCACACCCGGAGCTAATTACTGCCCGGGACGATGAGGCCCTCGGTGGCGAGCGCGGCGCCGGACGACGGCCGCCTCTTTGGCGGCGAGGGTAGAGGCATGTGGCGGCCCGCGGGCCGAGTCCGAGGCCGTCGGTCCGTCTCGCTCGCACCTCCGAGTGCGAGAGAGGCAGCGCGACGAGAGCGCACTGTCATGGGGGTGGCTGCACTGTAATTAATGCTGCAGTGTCTTTGCCGGGGTCACTGGGTCGACGCGACGCCGCATTAACGCGTGAACGCGCTCAGGGCGGAGCAGGGCGCAGCGTGCGAGTGCCAAAAGGGGAGGGGGGACGCCGGCCGGTAGGCAAGGCAGGCAGCAGACCGGCGGACACCGCTCTGGCACTGCGGCGGGGGGCTGCGTGGACCACGACGGCACGGCCAGGTTGGGACTGCCAGGAGCTGGCGCGAGCTGGCGAAGGAAGCGGTGACACTCCACTGAAAGGCACTGAAAGGCTGCTCGGTTGAAAGCTCTGCGGGAAGGCTGATAGGCTCCCAGCGCGGCGGAGCGGCCAGGCACCGCGTTTGTCCCTCATAAGAGCTCCTCGAGGCACTGCAGTGCACTGCCCGCCACTGCCTGGCACTGGCCAGCGTCATTACTAGCACCAGGCCGCACACTGTCACTCCGCAGGCCGGCTGCGAACATCGCGTCGCTCTGTCTCTCTCGCGCTCGTGGGGAGCGCCCTCGGGGTGCGAGAGAGACCGCGCCGTCCGGACTGGGCGCACTGCAGCGCACTGTCGGCCGGGTGTCCGGGAGACGTCCCGCAGGCGCGTCCAGCCCCGCGTCCAGCCCCGCGTCCCCGGGGACGTCCCGGACGACGTCCCGGACGTCCAGACAGGACAATGGCCTGGGCCTGACGGGCCGGCCGCGGTTAAACTGTTCAGTAATCCCTGGCGCGGCCAGGTCCTTGCCTGCCAGGCATTCCGGCCTAATCAAACAAAAGCAGCAACAACAGCGAATTATGAATGTGTTCGCAGCTTCGACGCCGGCAAGTCGACGAAGGGCGCGAGCAAGCTGCGGAGGGACCTGATCAACGCCGAGATCGCCAACCTGCGGGACCTGCTGCCCCTACCGCCCTCCACGCGGCAGCGGCTGTCCCAGCTGCAGCTCATGGCCCTCGTCTGCGTGTACGTGCGCAAGGCCAACTACTTCCAGCAAGGTGAGTCTCGATGCCGCGCGCCTCCTCGGCGCGACGCGGCGGCGCGGCGGTGGGTGGCGTGCCCACCTACACTCCGATAACCGACGGAACAGTCCAACGAAAGCGGCACGCGAAGCAAAAGAGGGTTGGTTGCTCTCGTGAAAAATAAGGGTTGTTCTCGCGAAAAACAAGGGTTGTTCTGGTGAAAAAGAGGGTTGTTCTCGTGAAAAAGAGGGGTTCTTTATAGCATTCTGCTACAAAAGAACGCTTTGCTACCATAAATGTTTGAGGTCCCGCGATTCAAGAACCAACATGCACCTCTGAACCCTTTAAATAAAAGAACAAAAGAGAAGAGCCATCCATTAATTTTGCGAATCCATACCATAAAGCATGTACATCTCATTCTCCACGCCCATGCCGCCGTGGCCCATCCCTCGCCCTGAGCCAACAAGCGCTAGCCGCGCCCCGCCCCGCCCCGCCCCACCCCGCGAGTGCGAGAGCGCGAAAGTTCCGGGCGAGTTGGAATTGCAATGCAGCGGTGATGAATGCGGTCATTCGAGCGGAGTGCGGATAATTTACGGGGAGCGCGTCGTAGTTTTAGTCGATCCAATTAGCTAGCCAGAACGCTCGCCCACACCGTCAAAGAGGCCAAAACGAGGAAGCGGTTCAATCCACCGCGCGCTAATTTCCAGTTTTCATTAATCATTTCCTCCTTCACCGTGGATTAAGTCTCCGCCGGCCTGCCGCGCGCAACGTGCAAGTAGAGAGAGAGAGAGAGAGAGAGAGAGAGAGAGAGAGAGAGAGAGAGAGAGAGAGAGAGAGGAGAGAGAGAGAGAGAGAGAGAGAGAGAGAGAGAGAGAGAGAGAGAGAGAGAGAGAGAGAGGCGCTTGTCGGCGGGATGTGTTCCCGGCCGTCAGTCACGGTGAGATACGAGCCCAGCGTGTGGCGCACTGCAAGGCGTACCGGACCTAGATCAGCAAACACTCCTCGCAGAGAAACACAACAAAATGAGAATGGCGCGCTGCATCGGCGTCATCGCGATGACGGGCCGGCGGCACGACACTCGGGACGTTTTAATCGGACTGGCGGAGGCCTGCGAGGCCTGCGTGCTGGGAGTGAAATGTGAGAGTGGGTGTGAGCCCCGTAGACAGAGCGCCCATTTTTCATCACGTGTGTTGTGCCACTGTCCGCGGCCGGCCGGCCCAGCCGGGGTGCGCGCTGATGCCTGGAGTCCAGGATGGTCCAGCTCACGGTGTAGGGTCCAGCGCTGGAGAATGCTGGAGCACCGCGGAAAGGTGCCTGGCTGTTAGTTTGAAGCAGGACTCAGTCTACGAGCAGTTCCAGATTTTACGGTTAGGATGAGACAGACAATAATTCTCAACTTCAGTTCCCCCTGTCCCTGCCTGAAAATTTTATTCGTTTCTGTGGATCTTTGAGCAACGCACCTTAGGCAAAATTAAAATCTCAGACGCAAAAAGTGTCTTTAAAAGTCTGAAAATGTCCATTTTTGGACTTGTTTTCCGACGGCGTTGATTCGGTTCATAATCTACATAGCGAGGGCATTATGGAAATGGCCGGTGAGTCCCTCTGGCCATGCAGCCCATGCGGCTAGGTGCGGCCCGGCTACTCCAATGCCGTGCCTTTCACACGGTACTGTACCCGCCTGACGACACCGAGCCCAGCGGGCCCAGAGGACCGCTTGTCGAAACACAGCCCACTTATGGCAGCCAACTGGGTTACCCTTTGAAAAGTGTCCACGCGCGACGTGGGGGACAGTCACTCGCAAAAGGTCCAGGCAAGGACCCGGCCAGCATTTCGAAGGCACCCGAAGGCAAGCCCGAAAATACAGTCTCTCTCAAAAGTTTGGCGGCGCTGTCGCTGAACCGGGCGAAAGGGACCGCCAGAGAGGACAGCCGGCGCGGGGTCGCTGCTTTTGCGACCGGCTGTACCGAGGGGCTGGAAGCGCGTGAATAAATTCGGGTCGGGCTGGCTAAGGCAAATGAATGGATGCGATAGTGATGAGCTCCCATAATAAATTCGCAGATCGTCGTCGCACAAAGCGGGGCGTGGGCGCGCCGGTGGGTGGCCGGCCTTTCTCTCCGCGGGCGGCGGGGCGGGGCGGGGCGGGGCGGGGCGGGGCGGGATCTTCCCCGCAGGCAGGGCGGGGCAGCGCGCCTGCTGGGCCTGCGCTGCGCCGCCTCAGTTAAACGCGGTGTGCTACAATGAGGAAAAATTAAAACAACCATGGCAGCAAAAACAAAATTTGACCAATTTTAAAATTGTTGAACATTGAAATGTATAAAGTAGTGATCGTGGTGGGTCAGCGTGACCCTCTTGTTTTGCGTCGGCCCAGCAGACGGCGCGGACGGCGTGGTAGCGACGGTGCCGCCGGGGAGTCGGGGGTCCAGCGGGGGCGAGGAAGAGGTGGGCGGGGGGAGGCTGAGCTCGCTGCTATGCTGCACGGCGACAAGCAACTTTACGGCGAAGGGGACGCGCCGCGACGCGCCGCGACGCCCGGCCAGACGGAAGTGCCTCCTGATCACCGGGGGATACCCGGCCGCGCGTACGCTACCTACCTCAAGGGAGGAGGGGGGGGGGCAGTCATTCATGCGGTGGCGGGGCGTAGTGCGGTGGTTACGCATGCAGATGTTGGGTAGGGTTCCAATCGTCACATATCGTTTGGTGGCCGCGGGGCTCACGCCGTCTCTCTCTCTCTCTCTCTCTCTCTCTCTCTCTCTCTCTCTCTCTCTCTCTCTCTCTCTCTCCCGTGCCGCGCGTGCGACGAAGACGGCCGCATTTATAATGCGCAGACCGGCCGGCCGGCCGCTTCATTGTGACCCGATTCGCCGCACCCGACCGCTGAATTTTTCATAAGCAGAGAGCGAAATTTGCTGCCGGCAGTGTGCAGTTCCTGCCGCACATCCGCCTAGGACTCCCCCCACCCCTCCTCCTCCTCCTCCTCCTCCGCGAGCTCGTAATTATATTCAATTGTGATGATCTGCCTCGACTTGCGATTGGCCGCCGCTCCGCGTGGCTCCGCGTGGCCCCGCGCCGCTCGGAGGGGCGGGCGGGGCTGCGGGGGCGTCGGGGGCGTGGTGCCGCGCCTGAAATGACGGGTGCGGCTGCCGAATACATGCATGCTAAGCAGGCCGGCAGGTCGGCCGGCCGGGCGTGTCCCGGATTGTCTTTTACGAAAGATGCGCTGAGGGGCCCAAGGGGCCCAAGGGGCCGAGGGGGCTCAGTGTCGCAACCGACCGAAAGTGTGGCCAATTCTAGAGCGGCATTCACATTCGGGTTCGACAACAATGCGAGCATCAACAACCCGAGGAGAGCAGCGCGAATGGCAATGGCACGGGACGGGACGGGTCAAATGGGGCTTTGAGCCGCGGACAGAGGGCCCACATTTTGATCCGTGTCCGATTTCCTTGAAATTTTTGGGTCACATCGATAACAAGTCACCTCAGGGCAAACCAATATTTCCCCTACCTAAAATCAAATTTTCTCATTATCATCCTGGACAGCCGCATTTAAGGACGGAGCCCTTCACCGCCCCCTAGACGCTCCCTGGACACATCCGGCACGCTCGCTTTGACACGGCGGCCCACGGCGATGCGAGCCGCCAACAAGGCCGCATCTGCTCTGTCTATTTCTCTCTCTCTCTCTCTCTCTCTCTCTCTCTCTCTCTCTCTCTCTCTCTCTCTCTCTCTCTCTCTCGGAACGTGCCGTCGGGGTGCGACAGAGACAGACGGACGAAGCAGCACTGCGCGGAAGCGGTACTGCGAGTCTGCGGGGCAAAAACGAGCACGCCTGGCTTCGCTCGCTGGGGGAGCCCCCGCCCCCTCGGCCGGGCCACTGCCTGGGCACTGCGATATGTCGCAGCCGCAAACCCCTTGGGGCTCCTGGGGGGCCCGGGGTGCAATTAGAAGGGTGTAGCCGCGGCGCAGCCAGCACGCGGTTCGCGGTACGGCGTACAGTCCGCGCCAAAAGGCCGTGCATCCGTACAGTCGCGCACCGGCGCTGCTCCATCTCGACGGCGGCCAGCGCCCGGGTTCACACCGCGCGTCCGGGTCGGGACGCCAGATCGAAACTCAAGCAGGGCGGTGAGGGGGAGGGTGAAGGGGGCGGCCACCCGCGCCCTTTCTCCGAGAGATCTCCCGACTCGGTTGCGCGACTGTACGCCGTCGAGGCGTCACCCGCCGCATGGTAATTCGATTGCCGATCGTCCGCTATCGACTCTATCGATCTCGATCCACCGATATCGCCCTCTCCGTCGGTGGACGTCGCCCTGCATGGCCGTGCCGTGTCCTGCCTAGCTCGCGGCGGTATGATGCTAGACGAATCGGAGGAGGGGGCGCTGGGCAGAGCTCAGGGCGACACACTTTCCAAAACGACCCGTTACTCAAGCCTCCAAATGCTGACAACAAGTCAACTTTGCACTGGGATTTTGGGCGGGACTGCAAAACTTCAAGTCCTCGTTTACCTCGTTCACTAGCACGCTGGCGTTTAAGTCACCATGTCACCATAGGGTTTTTTGCTCCACCTCGGCCCTGGCAAAAGCCTCCTGAATGTCATACTTTGCCCCTGTAATCAGGAAAAAAGTGATTTTTGCCTCCCCCTCCAAAGAAGGCCGCCTCCGGATCCTCCACTGCTGCACGGAGAGACAGTGATTCGGGCGGGGACACGGTAACAAGCATGCAGGTGGCGAAGGGCCTCGCGAAGGGCATCGCGAAGGGCAGGCGATGCTGTCCCACGGGAACCCCGACCGTACGGCCTCAATTAGGGTCGCCGGGCCCTTCCTTAGAAATTATGTCATTTGTGTTGGCAGCTCGGTCAAAACTAAATTTTTCATAGCCGACCGGAACACCTTCCAGGAACAGTCTCCGCCGCGTTCCGAGACGCGCTCAATGGAAGCGCGTCGCGGATAGAATGACCGTGGCGTGAGGGAGAGAGGGGGGGGGGGCAGGTAGGCAAGGTGAGATGGGAGTGCGATGAATGCTGCTAATGTGGAGCTTAAACCCACC